TACTGTATGGGCCAATATACTTCCTGCTACAGCTTTCTAATCTTGTGCCGAAGACACTTATTCTTGATAAGGCAAATTCCACTCTGTTATTCCCTTAAGTCCTAGCGGTCCACTACCTTCTGCCTATCCCATAAGTGCTCCTACTATCCCTCTGAAGCCTGGTCGCGTGGTACTTACCATTGGTACAAATCAGTTGATGTTTCCACAGTAGATCGACTCCTTAGAAGTAGATCGCATATCGGTATCCTTGGGGGGGGGGTAGATTGCGTCGAGTGTGTGGAGAATAATCCACGACTTTGGACTGACATACAAAATATTGGAGCGTCGTGCTATGCATATCAAGGAGCACGACGTATTTCGCTTTGCTGAAGAGCTAAGCAGCATTGACTGGAGTCACCACAACCTAGTGTTCCTAGACGAAGTTTCTTTTGATAATCGCGGTATGATTCGAAGGCGTGGCTACTCTATTAAGGGAAGGAAACTGGCGACTTCCAGCGGAAGCCAAGAGTGTCAGATTTGGTTTTTGGCGTGCACGGATTGATTTACTATTACGACACAGTAGGCACATTCGACTGCGTTGGGTTTGTAAAGTGTTGCCAAGATTTTGCGTATTCTAAGTGAGGCAGCGTTCGTCTATATCCTGGATCACGTTCCGTTTGGATTCTAGATGAGGCATCCATCCATCGGCACCCTGAGATCGTGCGTTTTCTAAGGAGTATTAGTGTAGTGCCAATATTCCTTCCAGCTTATTGTCCCTTCTTCAATCCTATCGAATATATGTTCGGCTTCGTCAAGCGCGCGTTCCAACGGTATTACAGCCAGTCAAGTGGTCGCGATTTATTGTCATTCGTTGTGAGAACATTTCGCAGGTTCGAAGAGTTTTACATTGGTAGAGTATTTGAGCATTGTGGATTTAAAATACAGGGCAATTTCTCCTACAGGACCTATGTCCACTGAGAAGCGTCATATTCCTGACATTTGGGACGAAAAATGTCAGACCTGAAGAAGAAGACGAAAATTTATAGTTTGTGGTAAGGTGCAATTCATCGTAATAAAGACCAAAGTTCTCAATCTACTCTTCATGTTCGAAGTCGTTGATGTTTTCGAGTGTTTCAAGTGGCTAAGCGACTTCACCTGCAGGTGGCAGTTGGATATCACGAAGGAAACTCTTGATAATAGATTTTCTGGACTGCAACTGTTTTTTTTTTGGATATCCAAACGCCGCGTTAGTACGTCCACGTCACGCTGTAACTGCTGATGATTGGCTATTGATGCGTTAATGCATTCTAAAGCCATTTGAGCTGACCTTGACAGGTGTGACAATTGCTGGCGATCCTCCGAATCCACATTTCTGGGAAGGTGAGCAACATGGTCGGGAGGCGAGTGCGATATTGCGTCGCTCCAGGTGGAGCGGTTGATGTCGTGAGTGATGTGGTTTTCCCACATCCTCTGTGACGGGGCCACACAGCACCTTGTGCAGAGGAAGTTTATTTCCTCTAGAGTATACAAACTCTAAGTGAACGACCGTTCACGTGTCCCTGGTCTGAAGGGGACGAAGTACTCACTT